TGCCGTGTTACTTAGCCCGCCGATATAACACACATCGTGATATGTTTTTACATACATAAATACATACATATATATACATACATACATACACACATACACACACACACACACACACATGCATACATACATACAAACATGCATACACCCTTTCATTCAAACATTATCTAATAAACTCTAGTTACCATAGGAACGCGCATTTTAATCTTTCATGTATTGTTGTAGAAGCGTTGTAACGTTGAATGTACGATGACGATGATGATGAGGAAGAAGAAGATGAAGAAGAGGAAGATAATGGTGATAATGCCAGTGATGATATAATGATGATGACAACAATAATGATGACGACGACGACGATGATGATGACGATTGGATTGATGACGATGATAACTCGGTTGTTATAAGAGCAAAAATACTACTGATGATAATGATGATGATGGTGATGACGATGATGATGACGATGACGATGATGATGATGATGCCTAAAAGTGGTAAGAGCTTTGTAGAGGATTAAGTTCTTACTTCAACTTTTTCTTATTTTCTCTCCCTCCCTCTCCCTTTCACACTTCCTCTTCCGCTTTCTCTTACTTCCTCTTTCTTTTTTCATTCTTTTTTTTCTCTCTTTTATTTATCTCTTTTGTAAGCGAAAGAGAGAGAGAGTGAAAGAGAGAGAAAAAAGAAAAAGAGCGAGAATAAAAAGAAGATGAGACAGAGAAAGAAAAAAAAAAGAGAAAGGAAGAGAGAGAGAATAAGAAAGAGAGAAAGTTTTTTCTAGTGTCTCTCTCTTTTTTAAGTTTCCTTTGTTTCATTCCTTCTGAATGCGGCTCTCGCTTGGTACACTTTGGCCACCAGAGTTTTTTCTCTCCCTCCACAAACATCTTCAGTTAAATTTCCAAAGAGGCATTCATTCAATATTAACGAACGTTTCAACTTTTATGAAGAAAAATTGTCGGAGGCTATTTTGGACTCGGCTATTTGTAGAATTTTAATAATAATAGTAATTATTATTATCATTATTATTAATATTATTATTATTATGTTATTCTTATTTTTATTAGTATTTTTAGTGTTTTTTTAATAAAAATCTTAATTTATATCGACAAATAGAAAGCCAACGACATAAGATCGATAAAACCGCTTCATAAATTGCAGTAGAAACAGCTGCAACAAGCAACAAAAACCAACAACAACAATAGCGATAACGTTCAAAGAACGTCAACAGCAGTAGCCGTAGAAGCAACAACAGCAGCCGCAACAATAGCAACAGAAGCCTCAACAGAAGCAGCAGCAGCAGCAACAACAGCATTCATCAGGGCGGTTTTCATGAAGCAATCTTCAATGACAATATCACCACCTAGCGTCCAAAAAAGCTCTGAATAATTTATAAGTTCCAGGCATCTGTCACGACACACACTGCCGCCGAAACCGCAGCTGCTACTACTACTACCACTTTCTACTATTACTACTACTACTACTACAAATGCTGCTACTTCTTCTATTACTACTATGCTACTACTATCATTACTACTAATGCATTTGCCAAAACCGCAGCCGCAACTACTACTACTACTACTAATTTTGCAGCTGCTGTAGCCACTACTACTACGTCACCAAAACAGCTACTACTGCTATTATTATTTTTGGTATTATTATTTTTACTGTTGCAAATGCACTCCTACCATGGTACTCAACTCGAAATGCTATTTCAACAGTTTCTACATTGTCTTTGCTTTCGCCATCGTCGTCGTCATTACTTGCCATTTGATGTTTTTGTCATCATCATTACCTTTATCATGGTAGTTGTCATCACTAAAAAAGTTATCGTCATCGTCACAGCAGCAATAGCTACCATCTTCATCAACTCGATCATCATCAACAACATTTTTATCATCACCATCATCTTCACCCTCTTCCCCACCGCCACCACCATCAGCGTATCCTCAACCACAACCACCACCCCCAATCATCGTATTATCAACCACAACTACCACCACCATCGTATCCTCAACCACAACCACCACCATGATCGCCTCGCGACCACATTGCCCACCATCAATATTCATCAACAGCTGCAGTCATAAGCAGCCAGTTTGGAATTCATGAATTCATAAAATGAAGACGATGACGTGGAGCTCTTAAACGATCCGCCATGCTGGACGCCATGTTGATTGCGTCACGGATGTAATAAAAGTACGTTTTGCAACGCTATGATTAATGTTGTCGTGTGTATTTGTTTGTGTATTATGTGTATATGTGCATATTAAGTTGCACGTGCGTGATAATGTGTGCCTGGGTGTGTGTGCGTGTGTGTAAGAAAGAGAGAGAGAGAGAAAGAGAGAGAGAGAGAGAGAGAGAGAGAGAGAGAGGAAGAGAAAAAGAGGTTTTTTGAAAAACAAAAAAAACTTTTTAAACATTTCATTCATGAATTCGAATTTATTCATTCCATTTTTACGTTCTGTTTTCCAAATGTTCTCATACAATAATTTCCATCGTTGTATATGGT